AGACGTATGCGTCCAACAAGACCCTGTTCGAATATTGCCGGCGTTCTAGTGTGTGAATTCCGCATACTAGCCTGTAGTTTAATGGTCCCGTAATTGAAAAAGCCATCGTCGATAAACCCTAAGCCCTAAGCTGATACCCCGTGTTCGGTTTTGTTGCTGCCCATGCTCGGTTTCGATCACCACAGTCCTTCTCAGCTCCGCGCCCCACATCCCCCAGGCTGCGCCTACTTCCTGTCAAGTCAAACTTGTGAGTTTCAGAAAATACTGAGACGTAAGACGTAAGCCATAGGATCCATGTTACTGCTCGTGGTAAGAAGCACCATGCATGCAAAGACATACCTTGAAGTTGAGCCACGTCGGTCTAAGATGCATATCATGGCATCGTCCGGCAGAAAGCAGATATCCGCAGCAGGCTCCCAGGCCAGTGCAAACCGCCGGATCACAGATGGATCCCAAGCACTCACGTCTTGAGCTACACATGCGAGTAATTCTCGCAGCCCATCCCCTCATCACGAGACCCTTGGCTTCCACATCCCAACCACTCACAAGAGCAATCATACCTTGACTTTTCATCGCGCTTGTCCCAAGCCCTGAAATCCGAAACCCAAAGCCCAGCCATCAGCTACGAAACCCTAAACCCTAAACCCTAGCCTACCGGAATAACAGCCTGCCCAACCGGGCTTTGGAGCGCAAGCGACGAAAAAGGCCCTTAAACAAAAACAAAACCCTAAGCCTCCCGTCCCGGAAGGAGAGGCGGCGATGGCTCGTAGAACGTCTTCAGGACCTAGGCGCCAAGGCCCGGCGACTCTGATGCGTGGGCAGCCTGGGACTCTTAGGGTTCAGGGTTCAGGGCTTTTAGGGTTTATAGGGTTTAGGGATTAGGGCTTTTAGGGTTTAGGGCTTTTGGGGTTCAGGATTCAGGGGTTTAGGGTTTAGGGGTTTAGGGTTTATTTAGGGGTTTAGGGTTTAGGATATAGGCGATCTTTTGGGCTCGGGTCGCTTATTGATGTGGCTGTAGGGCGCTCGGATACCGGAATGTTATTGTCGTCCCTGTGAGTATTACTAGTATCCCTTATGAATTTCTCTAGTTCTTTTCGACCGGCTTGCTCCTTGTTTTCAAAGTCTCTACTCTCTTTGGAAACGCTCTAGTCTCTTTCGAGCAGTTTGTTCTGAAATTCTCTAGCTCCCTTCGAGCGGTTCGAGTTTCTTTCGAAATTATCTAGTCTCTTTCGAGCGGCTTGCTCCTTGTTTTCAATTCTCGAGTCCTTTCGAGCGGTTTGTTCCGTGTTTTCAATTTCTCTAGTCTCTCTCGACATTCTCCAGCCTCTTTCGAGCCGTTGCTCCTTGCTCTGAAATGCTCTAGTTCCTCGCTCTGTCTTGAATCTGGAAATGTCTAGTCTGTTTCGAGCGGTTGGTTCCTTCTTCTGAAATTCTCTAGTTCCGTTCGAGCGGCTTGCTGCTCGTTTTCAAACTCCATAGTCTCTTTCGAGCGGTTTGCACCTTCTTCTGAAGTTGTCTAGCTCCGTTCGAGCTCTGAATTTCGAAAGAGACTCAAGCATTTGAACACAAGGAGCAAACAGCTCGAAAGGAACTAGAGAATTTCAGAACAAGGAGCAAGCCGCTCGCAAGTTCGCAATAGACTAGAGAGTTTGAAACCAAGGAACAAACCGCTCGAACGGAATTAGAGAGAGAGAGTTTGAGAAGAAGGGGCAAACCGCTCGCAAGAGACTAGAGAATTTCGAAAGTGATTAGATAATTTGACGACCAGGAGCAAACTGCTCGAAAGGAACCCGCAGCTGCCGATGATGCCACACTGGTGCTGGTTGTGGTCGCGGTGGGGATGATGGCTGCCACAAGCATTGGTTTGTTGTGTGTTTTGCTGGTGGCTTTATTGTTGCCACTGCCGTTGCTGGTGATTTGTTAATCTACTGGGTTGGACGATGCCTCTTCTCGGAAGAAGGCCATCCCTCGACTGCTATAAAGGTTGTGAAGACGGCGCTCTTTTCTCTTGTCGACGTGCAGGGTTTATATCATCAACAGTAGTGACAGTAGTGTTCATGGCCGCAAAAGTGAGAACAAGACGAGCGACTTGTGATCCAGCGTCGTCGTCGTCGTCGTCGTCGTCAACGTAGTTCGCCTCGTCGTCATGATCCTCATCAGTAGTGTCACCGGTGTTGCCTTTATCGAGGGCAGCACCATCACCAGCACCGGTACCATCAAATCATCATCATCACCACCTTCATCATCATGATCGCCACCACCATCATGGTCACCATCATCATCATCATCATCACCATCAAGAACATGCTCTTCTTTTCTTCGTCATCATCACCATCATCATCAACGTCATCATCGCCATCATCATCATCATCAGCATAATTATCGTCATTGTCGGTATCATCCCGATGATCATGATGATTAAGGAGGACTATCCTCTTCAAGACTCGTTCCAGGTGATCTTCCTGGAGGTTACCTGCAGCGATTCCGAGCGCATCTCCGAAAACATCCAGTCCACGCACAAGAGCCTTCAAGTGCAACAGGCCGGCAACGCAGGAACGTCATACCACCCGTTGAATAAAATGGGGAGCCTTTGCAAAGGTGCGAACTATGGATAGGCAGCCTTTATTTGCAGACCCCCCCCACAGAGAGTCCTCGCAATCGAGTCCGGAATGGGGGGAGACGTTCATGGAGGTTTTCTGTTAGGTTCAGGGTTACGGGTTTACGAGTTATGGGTTAAGGGATTACGGGTTTGGGAGTTGCTGTGATCTACTGGGACAGATGACGAGTTGGTTTAGGCTTCCTCTTCGAAGTTCCCATCGTACAAAGCTAAGCCCCTTTGGAACAGCTACTCCTGGGGCGACTTGAAAGTTTACAGCAACCCCGGGTGTCGTCAAGGGAATGGAGAACCCCAAAGCCACAATCCCCAAATCCTGAGCGAGCATCTCTCTCACTAAATTTAATTGGATGCTGTCATCGACAGGTTCAACTGAAACGCCTGCAACCAGGCATTATATGCCTTGAGCAGGCAAAAGTTCTCATAACTGACACCGACTGACGAATGTCCGACCGAACTCCGAGCCCTAAACCCAAGGCTCCAAGAGCCATCAGACCCGAAGCCTTCAAAACCCTTGTGATAGCCTTGTTTCAGGTCCTGAGCGCTGAAGAGGCAGGTGCAGACTTCATGAAGCGAATCGGCTTCTACAACGAGGTGAGGTTGGCAGATTGAGGGTTTGAAGGGCTTTCGATTTAAGATAGGATAGGTGTCAGGACTTCAGGTTGCGTGGTTATTTGGTTTCGGCAGTTTCTGAACCGATGTTCCTTTTTGAAGGTTCAGCTCCCCTTTCCCGCAAACAGTTAACAGTGTTCGCAGTCGGGACTTCAAAAGGCACCACATTCCTTAAGGACGAGATGTACCTCGTAAGGGTTTATGGTTCAAATACCATATAAGAAACTCATGGCATGAAGGGTACATGGCCCTTACTTTTTCCAGGGTCAGTTGGTGCCCAAGGTTTTAGAGCCAGCTGCAGGTGGCATGTCAGACTTGAAGCCTCTGGACCCTTTGTTGCAACCATAAATGGTCACAACCACCTAAACGTTGAAAGTTTAGGGCGTAGGGTTGCGCTTTCGGTTTAAGGTTTGATGTAGGCCCCCCCACCCTAAACCCTAAACCAACAGAAGCCGACCGCTGTACTTCTGCATGCGAAGCTTGGCCTGTGCCTCTTTCTGCCCTCACGGCAGGTGTACGAGACGCTCCAAAGCTGCACTCAAGAGCCTAAACCCTAAACCTTAAACCCTGCACCCTAAACCCCAAACCCCAAACTATCCTAAACCCTATACCCTAAACCCTATCCCAAACCCTAAACTATCCTAAACCCTATAAACCCTAAAGATTCCAAGAGCTCCAAACCTCTGCCGAACCCTGGTCAGGTCAGAGCTTGAAGACAGGAACCCCCACCCCAAGGGTCCCTGTGCCCAAATCGATATACTTTGGCCTTAAAGTAGTCCCTATTTGGGTACTTTGGGGCCAAAGTATGTCTATTTGGCTACATGGACCCTTAGGGCTATTTAAGACGATAGAAGCTCAGAGGAGTTGGCATGTAGTACTGTGGTAAAGCACTGTAGAGCAATGGTAAACACCAGAGTTTAGAAAGCCTTAAAAAGACCCAGTAGAGAAATTGAAAAAACGCTTGAGTAAACTACCCTTGCACCTTCCCAGGCTCTCGGAAACCGAATATAGCTGGATCAAATTCGTAGATGGCGGGAGAGAGCCTCTGCAGCAGCTTCTGTTTTGGGAGTAGGGAATTGAGTTTATGGTGCCTTGAAAAGTTCTACAGGGTTTTGCAGCGGTTATCTAAGACTTCGTAGGTGTCATGGCGGCCTTGCAAGGGTTTTAGAAGGGTCGTATGGTGGGTTTGCAAGGCTTTCAGGCGCAGAAGGGATTTATGGAGTTTGGGGGTTTGGGGGTGCAGGACTTTTTGTGTTTTACAGGCGTGGGTCTTTGTGGCTTGAAGGTTAGAGGGGTTGTGCAGCGTTGTGATGCTTTTTTGGAGCTCTGTGAGGCTATCATGATGTAGGGAAGTTGAAAACTAGGTTTCCTTGTTTCCAGCAGCCTTCTGACTGTATACGACCATTCTGAAAGTCAATCCCTGTTCTAGAGCTTAGGTTGTATTTGGGTTTACTTGAAGCGTTGGTCCCCTTTGGGGTTGTCATGTCGATAAACTTGCTCTACAGGCTGCCAACGCTCCGGCAATGCTATCAGACGTGCAAGCCCAAAAGCATAGACCCAACGTTATTGAATCGCCTGCATGCAATAGCACCGTCAGCAGGTCGTTCAAGGCTAAAAGCAGAGGGTCTGCAAGCCCTGAAGCACTTCCGCCTAAAACTCTTTTGACTTCTTGAAAGCTTCATGTCGCTTGGCACTCGCCGATACAACACCGTGCATATTTGGGATGGATGACAGTTCCAAGCCCTTCGTATATGAGGAGATTTCCCTCCATAATATGCGCGGCTTTTTGGCATCGCGGATTGCGCAGCTACCTGTTCTGCAAGCTTCTTTATCTGGGAGTGGGAGGGCTTTTGCTTTGGTACTCTGCGTCGCTTGGTTTAGGGTTTAGGATAGCATAGCATCGTGCTTATAGGAATCATGGTGCTTGCATTCTGCTGCGTGAGCGGTTCAATCTCTACAAAGACAAACATCATTCCTTGGAGCGCAACCGGCGAGGTTTCTGCTCAATCTGCACGGGCAACGAAGACCTATCTTCCTGTCCCGGCACGGCCAGTCTGAGTACAACCGATTAGGCAAGATAGGCCACTTGGCTGCGTGGCGGGGCATGGTGATGCGGACGAGGGTGATGCTTATGACTTATGATGATGGCGACGAGCGGTATGACGACATGTTGATCTGGTGCTGGCAACTGTGCTTTGCGCAAACAGCCTTTGGCTTTGGGTTTCGGTGTCGGGGTTTGAGAGTCGGACGTAGCTCTCCGGTGTTGTGCTCCGCATGCCAATAGAAAGCCGCTTCACTAACAACCCGAAACGCAGAGATCTAGACTCGTGCCAGACACTGAGGTGGCACTGACAAGTGTTCTCGGAACACCAGCTGCGCACTGATACCCTGTATGCCACGACGTGTCTGACCCCATGCCGTAACAATAGGTCTTTGCAAACTATTGCCTCGACCATTTCAGAAGCCAGAGAGACTCCGGCCGAAACCATAAAAAAAGCTCCTAAAACCCCTGAACCCAAAAGTCGTTTATGTCATACTCCAGCACCAAGTAGGTACGGGCACAGTCGATCATTTTGCAAGATGTCTTCCTCACCATGCCGTTATGCAGACGAAGACCCCGGACACGGGACCTTCCCTAAACCCCTGCGAGGCCCTCTGCCCTTATGAATGGCAGAAATCCGAAGCCTAGGCTCCTCAGTAGCCCCCTTTACCCTTTTTCCTTTAGGTTCCCCTTATTGAAACGGTGTACCAGGAAAAAGGGGTACCCGTTTTAATTTCTTAGAGGGTCTGGGGAAGCTAGAAGCATGCAGGTGGGGACTCCGTGTTGACATCGCACGGGGAGGAGAGCTCTTGAGGGATCGGCTCGGGTTCGGCGTGCGTGATTCCCACAAGAGTTAAGTTGCAAACCGAAGGCGTAAAGCATAAACCTTATAGACCCTGCAGCGATAAAGCCTCAAGCTTGAAAGCGAAACCCTCCGGTAATTCAGACGGTACGAGCGCAGCAATAGGATGAGGAATAGCAATAAGAGTAGGAGTCGGACTAGGAGAGTAGCAGTAGCAGCAGCAGCGGCGGCGGCGGCGGCGGTGGCAGAATGCAGTAGTGGTAGCAGTTGGCATCATCGTCATCGTCCTCGGCGTGGTGTATCAACCAGAGCAGCCATATTAAGAAATGGCAGGTGTCGGGTGCAGGGAGCGATGTAACTAATTTCAGTATGAGTTTTGGGGCATATTGTGCTGTAACTATATTATATAGAGGAATATAGCTAATGATTAATTCAGACCTCTACACTAGACTAAGTTGATTCCGGCGATGCTGAGCACTCGCAGGAGTACGCCACCGCCCTTGCCGACTGGGTGGACAAAGAGGACGGACAGAGTCTGCAAAGATTCAGTGTGTCGACCTTGCTGCGTTTTGGGACTTCGTGTGTATGATGCTTCTTATGCGTTTTGGGTGCCGTTCGGGATTTATTTGGGCTTCCGGCCTCGGCAATCAGCCCGACGGAAGGTGAAGATAGATGCCCGAAGCCCAAGACCCTCAAACCGTAAACCAAAAACCCTCAAATCCTTCAACCCTTAAACCCTTAAACCCAGAGCCCGAAACCCTAAACCTTCGAACCCTACTCTCAAGGCCTTAACCTCAAATCTTTAAACCCTAAACCCCTATACCCCCTAAAAGCCTCAACCCTAAACCTTCACACCCTCAAGCCCTATAAACCCTAAAAACCCCAAAACCCTATAAACCCTATCAGCCCTAAATGCCCTAAAAACCCTATCAACCCTAGAAACCCTATCAACCCTATCAGCCCTAAAAAACCCTAAAACCCCTAAAAACCTATAAACCCTATAAGCCCTGAAAAACCCTAAAACCTATAAACCTTATAAACCCTAAACGGCCCTAAGAGGTGAAGATAGACGCTGCCGGAAAACCCCGGCCTGCCCGGCTCTGGACTTCGTCGCTGAAGCGCACGAGGCTTACAGCCAGACATATCCGCGGCCTGCCTGCGAAGGTTTATAGAAGGTTTAGGAAGTTTAGGTGTTTTCGAAGGCTTAGGGTTCAGGGTTTAGGAAGTTTAGGATTTCGGGTTTAGGAGTTTTTGGGGGGTTTTGGTTCCTGGGGGCCTTTTCAGAGTTGAAGTAGGGCTACTTGGGGTATGTGGTGAGAGGTGTGGGGGTTGAAGCTTGAGGAGTGTTTAGAGTGTTGGGTATCGGGTTTGGGGTTGAGGATGCAGAGGCCGCGGGCTGAGGGAAGTCGCAGATATTGTCTGGTGGGGTTTAGAGGTTGGGTGCTGGATGAACGGCCGTTTAGGGTTCGTACAGTGAGTTATCTGGGCCAGGAAAGGTAGTTGCAGATAGTTGAGAAGGACAAGAATTGGTGCAGTCATAGCAGTGGCAGCAGCGGTAATCATAGTGCTCGTACTACTCGCAGGACAACCGGGAATCGGTATCGAAACTAGGGGCGAGGAGGTGCTAGGTTCAGAAAATACTGCAGCAATTTTTTTGGGGGGGGGGGAGGGGTGGGCGTGGCCGTTAAGTCCACTGGCGCGCGTCAAACATCCGGAGACAAAAGCATTCTGTCTCGTTGACCTGAACCCGAAAACCTGTAAACCCTTCATGAACGGTTGGCATGGTAGACTCCTACACTGGCAGCAGGGCTACCCAGACTTGGCAACAGCAGCAGCGTCGGTCTTTCAACCCCGATTTCCCTGCAAAAGCCCATAGCCATAAATCTGTACCCCCCCTCCGGCAGCAAAAAGCATGCAGTTGTTTGTGGGGCGATGGCAGCGCCCTCTTGTTCCAAAAGAGGGCAAGAAATTACAACCATCTTAGCTTCCCCTATTGTCTGAAGCTCCCATATATAGACAAGCTGAGGACACGACAGTCTGACGTTGCCGTCTGGCACGCAGTGGGCTCCTTGCACGGACCTGGAGTTGGTATCTTCGCCTTAGCACGGCTGGACTGGCAAGAGACAGTATGATCAGAATCATGATCGTCTTATAGTCGTCATATTAACCAGATGCTAAGAACGGTGATAACAATTGCAATATCAGTGGGCAAAAACGACGCCAACAGAAATGTGAACAGCAATAACAATGCCAATAACCATGGTACTGTAGTCGTCACAACGCTGTCGAATAATGAACTTTGAATGACAGCTGATGAGCAGTACAACACTCCAAACCGATGTCAATATTAACATACAAGCAGTGTAAACACTAGCCGGATCAGTACTACTTGTGATCTCATTGGTTTTTCTACGAGGACAAGCATATGTTATAGTGGCACTACCTGGCAGAAGCCAGGTTCAGGGTTTAGTGTTTCGAGACTTTTGGATCTGAGTCTGGGGTTCGGGTTTCAGGCTCCGTTTAGCAGCTTCATCAAAATGTCTTGGAATCCCCGCCTCAGGTACAGATGCGGCCAAAGATGTTCCGTAATCTAGATGAGATATACGCCGGTCTCTGCGATGGGATGACCTACGAGGATGCTTCCGAGCTCGTTGTGCATTGCGAATTTTTGCCCACATGTTTCTCACTTCTGTCCGAGAAGCCGATTGAGAAGCACAACTGGTGTCTGCTTTCGCAAGCATTGAAGGTGTGCTCGGAATCTCGTTCTCGCTGCTTCCGCTTCTGGGATGATGACTGCTGCGGATGCTTGATTGTTGGTGGTGAGGGTCGTGTTGCCGCTGCTGTGTTGCAGGAGATCGAGCGCGAATATCCAGAGGAAGCGACGGCGCGCAAAGGGGACAAGTCTCTTGTTGTGGCAATTTCGCAGTTGACCTCGCAGCTAGGCACGCTCACGCAGGGAAGGGTTTGTCGCATGCGAGCATGAGGGTTGAAGCCTGTCCCTGGTGATTGCAGTGGAAACGCTAAGAGATCGGGGATCACGTTTCTTCGCTTCGTAAGCACCGAATCGGCCTGGCTCCGTCGATCTTGCTTTTGAATATAACTCCTCTAGGTTGCCCAGTAACACCCTTCTGCCCTTTTTTCTTTTTGGGTTCATTTATTAGAACCAAATAGTAGGAAAAAGGGCACCCTTACTTTTAAGGGGCTACTGGGAAACCAAGTCCTCATGGCAGCATTAGGTTCGAATATCGCTATCCACGCGGGGAGAGCTACACGGATCTCATCTCCCGCCTCGAGCCCATGGCGCATGAGCAGCTTGGTTCATGGAAAGACATGGTGGATGCTGGGGTCGAGAAAAATGTGCATGCCTCCAAGATTAGTTTTTTTAAAGAAACTCTTTCATCACGGCTATGTATAATCATTGCGTATGACCATGGTCATTCTTTCGTCTTCTTCGTAATCCTATTCTTATCGTGTGCTTTTTTGCCTTTGCAATTCAAGTGCCGAATGTCCCGAACTCCGTTGTTTGAAGCAGAGGATGGAGCGGGCGCAGGAGACCCTGCTTGTGGTGGCCCACCAGGCAGAGCAATAGGGTGTTTATGGGAGGTAGATATGGCTATCAGGGAATCAGAGGGGTGTTGTAAGGGTCTTTCTATTATAGCAGTCAGTAAAAGTTGGTTCTTAGGGCCCCTACACCGAAGTGTCTGGCCACGGTTCTTAGCAGGAGCTTACATGGTTCTACTATCTGGGGCCTCTCTCGTAGAGGTTTGGGGCCGGTTTGGGGTTAGGGGTTGGGCATGGAGACCTGCACTAGCTATCGCTAGTTGCAGGGTTTCCGTGTTATGGCTGCCTCAAGCGAGTTTGGGTTCTCGGGCGGTTTTGGGGGGTTCAGGTTTTACAGCTTGGCCAGGAAACCCCAGATGCCCCCCGAATTCGCGAATTGCCATGAGGACGACTCGTAGCTTCTGCCTCTTCGTTTAAGAAAGCCGCGCGTAGAGAGCTTCCAGAATCTGAGCTCATATGCTGAGGCCATCCTGCGCGTTCTGTACGCCTACTTCATGGGTATGCGGCGTGAGGCTGGCACTCATAACCCTTGCCCTAAGGCTCTAAGGACTCATCTTTTAAGGCTTTTGGGCCCAAAGACCATACTATATAAGGTTTTTGGGCTATTTTGAGCCTTATAGGTTAAGGATGATGAAGAGAGAGACGAAGACTGAGACATCTCCAGAAATACGCCCACAGCACCTGATATGTGAGATGACGGGAAGATTGAAATCGGACAGGCATATTGAGTTGTCGTGTTTTGTTGGTAAGGGCTCTAGATGTTTGTTGGGATACCCTACGTGGTACAACTGCTGGAACTCCACCTGCGACTGTGTACAACGGTAGTTGCTCCTTGTGGTGGTTGCGGCCGTCATGGTCGTCGTACTACTAGTCCTAGTCGTGGAACTGCGACTTCCCCTGATCCCCGAACTAACCCCTAAACCAGGCCTAACACCCGGCCCCAAACCCTCAAGTGGGCGCTAAATCCCTAAACCAAACCGCCCAACCCAAAAGCCCCTAAAACCCTAAACCAGGCCTTAAAGCCTCAACCCCGATCCTCTGTGTCCTATAGGTGGTATCAGGGAGACCCCTTTTTGGGGGACCCTTCTTAACCCGGCTCTCTTAAAGGGGACCTCATTGAGAGGACGTAGATCCCAAAGGGTGACCCGAATCCTAACTCCTACTCCTTCGCCTTCCCAGTGCAGGAATGCCCGGATGTGCCGGGCTCTAAGCTTCGAAGCTCTGTCCTTTGGGAAGGTTTAGGGCTTTTAGGGACTGTGGGTTTCGGGGTTTAGGGTGTAAGGGATTCCCACCTTCATTTCTTATGTGTCTGGTTTAGGGTTCAGGCTTTAGGGGTTCAAGGCATAGGGATGCCCACCTTCAGTTCTAAGGTTCATGGGGGTTTTATGGGGTTTATGGAAGCTTCGGAGGAAGGAGCCCCCTGTTGTTTGGGAACTTGTCCCCTTTGGGCTGAGGGTTGAGGGTTCAAGGTTCTGCTTGCACTGGTTTCGGACTTTTTGTTCGAGTATCTAGAGGGTTTGAGGTTGAACTCGGTTTACAGTTCAGAGTTTGTTAAAGTGAGGTTCAGGGATTAGCACGTCAAGGTTTCGACGGGATTTCTGGGCTTGGAGGTTGAGTGTTGGATGCGTTGAGAGTGTCCTGCTAGCTAGCACTCTTACGCCAACTTGTAAGAACTAGCAGTTGACGATCATCATGACTAGTGGCTTGGCTGGCCATTCTGAGCGCTTTGAGCCGCAGTCTGTATGGCCTTCCAGAAGTAGACAAGGTCGATTCCCCTCAACACCGTCATCAAGCTGACGCCGACCGCAGAAGGCCAGCACGCTAGATGATGCGTCGGTGTCCGTATGAACCTCTTGGTTTTGTGTAGATGTGTGTGTGTGTGTATGTATATATATATATACACACACACACATAGCGTCTATTGCGGCCATACCGGGAATTCAGCAGCATACTGGGAATTCAGCAGCTGCACATACTGGGAATGCATCAGCTACAAATAGAGTCTTTAGCTCCAGGCAAAGCCTACCAAGCAAAGGCCTTCAGCATATACTTCATGGACACATCCTGGAAACCTTGCTCTGTGGTTAGAAGGTCTGCAGCGCTTGTTGGGTGTACGTGTTGTTTTTTTTAAGATAGCTGCTGTACGATTCAGAGTGTTTTGCAGAGCTCTGTGTCGCAAATGGTGGGAGAGCCAGTGCACTAGGAAGGTAAAGTGATGAAGGCACTGAGTTCTTGAGGAGAGGTTTCCCGAGGAAGCTCAGGTGCGATCACCACGGCGTTTCCCTTATTCAAACCCTATGTTGCCGTGTTCCCATGATTTCCTACTTTCCACAAGCCGGTCGGTTTTGACTCGTACCCAAGCAGCGTTGGCATCTCGCTTGTATTTTCCATGCTGCTCCTAAACCCTGACGGCCAAACCCTGAATTGCCTTAAATCCTCTCTGGAAGGCTGCAGTGAGGAGCGGTTTACCTTGCTGTCATCCCGGCAGCGTTTTCTGTCAGAAGCTGCGAGAACGGTTGCAGTACAGTTTTGAACCCCCAGCTGCCAGACTCCCACCCGATGCCAGGCCTAACCTCAAGGGAAAGGAGCTTGATCCTGCGAGTCATTGACCTTCCTCCTCGCAGGAGGCAGGGGGCCAAGTGAAGAGCCAAAGATAACATGTAAAGTTTCGAGTCAGGCTCCGGCTAACCCAAAACCCTAAACCCTAAACCACCGGTTTTTGCATGCGTGTCTTGTGCTATGGAGGGATGATCTCAGGATTTCAGGGGCTTTGACAGAACTCTGCTTGAGGCTTCCGAATCTATGGACGGCTCTGCATGGGGTCCTTTTGTCATCTCCTTCTTTTCGGGTTTGGGGTCTCTTTGTCTTCGGCTCTGGCTGGCATCGTTGCTGAAACCCTAAACCCTAAACCAGAGAGGTGGAAAAGCATCGTCTCTTTTGCCTGGTGACTGTCGCTGAGGTCCCGCTTCAGGGCTGAACCTGCGCCGTTTGAATTGTCTTCCGGCTTCAGTTTCATGCGCAGATGCGACCCTGAAATGAGATTCTTTAAGATATTGTACCCTAGGGCTCCAGTTACCTAAATAGTAGGTTAGTGGGATACATAAGATATGGTTAGTTATTAGTAACCCACTATTTAGATAACTGGAGCCCTAGGGTAGCTCTCGGATTGCCGGGTACCTGGCTCGACCCGCCGGTGGCGCAACCGCAGTCAAGCAAAGCCCTTGCAGTCAAGCTCCTTTTGGCATGCTTTGCAACCTTCCCGCAAGATCCTGGTGTGGATTGTGAGCCTTCGATTCGTGGGCGTGGGTCCCGCACCCGATTTTCAGGCGGCTCTTTCATGCTCTGTGGCCGCTTTGACACTTTTAAGACCTCCACAGCCACGAGTGAAGCAATTGATTCTTTTGCTCCTGTGGCCTTGCAAGTCCACAGAGCCTGCAGAAGCTTCAAAACAAGGAGCTGGCAGGCTCTGAAGTGACATGGCAAGGGCAACTAAGTTACTCGCCCTGCACGACCTCGTCTTTGGAGACCAGTGCCTCTTGGCTGACACGGCCCCAGGATGCTGCGAGACAGTCACAGTGCCACTTGTCTCCAGAAGGCGCATGCGATGCTGGAGACGTGCTGCGGGCCAAAAATAGCAGATCTAGTTTGGTGAGGGAGAGCCTTGGTGAGATTAACTTCACAGTACCGATCCAAAGCACCACAAGTGCCTTCCCCGGCTCTCCGTCTTTATTTGTGCTGCTGATGTTAGCCTTGATCGCAACTCACGATCCACAGAGCAAGCTTAATTATGCACGAGCAGACGCTAAAGCGTTATGCGATTTGACATTGACAGAGGGCGCAGCAGTATGTACTAAGATCGATGGTCCATTTCGGTGCCCAAAGAAACAAAGCCATGCTGTGCTGGCTCCGAAAGCCTTAAATCCGAAGGATGCTGTCGATACCACTGCGGCAGTTGATCACCTTTCGCACCGTGACAGCTCTCTTACCTGCTTAATGCGGATTAGCAATGGTCAACGCAGACCAGTCTGCCTTGCCAACATGATGAGTTGTTCATCTCCAATCCCCGTTCTGTGTTCCGAAGAAGAGGAGGGGAGCTGGTTGGGATGGATGAAGTCAGAAAGAGTTTAAACCCAACGCCCCGAGCTCAGGCTCAAGGCTTGGGCGCCCAATCCAGAGGCGCCTGCAACTCGGTTTTGTTCGGTTTTGGTTTCATCCAGTTGCTTGACAAGTCTGGGGTTATCAGGGCGTCGGTTTCATGCACTTACCTGACTGCTTACCTGACAAGTATCATTGTCAACATGGAGCTCTGCATACCGGAGCCTGTCTTACAAAGCCATCCTCTTGGCAGGAGGCCCTTTTCGAGTACAACGAGATCTTCTGCAGGCTCGCCAGATGCACTGG